CTTGTATGTTATAAAATTCTGTTTCATTGAGCTCCTGGTTGAATTATAAATGGCAAAACTCCTTTCAATCTTTAACATGCAATAGTCTTTATAATTTAAAACTATTGGCAATCTGTACTCAGTGGGGGATTAGAAAAAGCCTCCATAGAAGCTGAATTACTTCTCACATTAAGGCAGGAATTACTAGAGCATCTGGTGAATCTTGAATTATGGCCATCTGCACTCTGTCAACTGTACAGCTAAGTAGATTTTGTACTGAGAGATCCTCAGTTATTTTGAAAAATAACAAAGCACTGAAATTAAAATTACATTTAGTAATGTTTCTTTCACTTAAAACCATTCCTTATTTGCAGGCATGTTTTCACCTAAAAATATTGCTGATGCTCGGCTTCCAAATCAGATCCACTAAAAGATGTACATTATAATTCTTGGATACCCAAAGTTTTTCTTCCTAGTCGAGCCTTAAAAGTAGGGTCACATGGTGGTATTATAATGTATTTTCTGGAGCTAGCTACTTTAGAAAAAAATGTCCAGTTTGTCAAAGTTGATTAGTTTGCTTACAATGATCCGCCTTCAAAATATAATTAAAATTAACTTTAGAATATAGTAAGAAAGGGATGGGCCATGTTTGGTCTTCTAGATGTTTAATACGTCAACTCCGAGAAGTCACAAACAACATAGTGAACAGTAAGGGATTCAATGCTTTAAAAAAAAACACCTCTGGTTTATGAATGTGGGGTACTGTGTTTCTGTATCCATCATTCAGGACTGCATGAAATGGCCCGATATTGCTGCACAATATCATGCCCGCGCTGCCAGGAGGAAAAAGAACGCCAGGTTTTACAAAGCAAAGGACAACCTGAATGCTGACAACACCAATGACAGTAGTCAAAATGATCTAAAGCAATGGTTCCCAAGCTTGGGTACTCCATGTGTTCTTGGACTGCAATTCCCAAAAACCTTCACCACCAGCTGTGCTGCCTGGGGTTTCTGGCAGTTGTAGTCCAAGAACACCTGTGTTACTCAAAGTTGAGAACCATTGACCCAAAGCATACCATCTTCCGTTCAGAACCACTCACAAAATGACACCAAGCAAGGCAAAATTCCAAAAGCTGATTCCATTTTTTGTCTGTTTACACTTTTCACCCAAACACATGACAAATGTCAGGGCTTTTTTTCAACCAGTGTGTTAGCACTGAGCAGAAGAGTGTATCCTGTAGATGATCTTGACTGCTGCCATTGGTGTATTCAATGTTCAGCTGCCGTTCGCTATGCAAAGCTTGCCATATTTTTTTTTCTTGTGCCCTTGTTAAAGGACAGCCAGCGAGTCACTTGGGCTTGATCCCAATAAGCACATATGCTGGAACCAAACCAAAATGGAGCAATCCTACCTGCCCTCTGAGAGAGACCCAAAAAGGTGCAAGCTCCAGGGATAGGCTGGTTGATGCTGGCCCTGATATAATGTGGTTGCTGGCAAAAAATAAACAAAGAAACTAGCCTATCCACAGAGTAGACCAACCAGCAGGGAAAATGCCCATGCAATAACCCCAATCACAGTCTGCTTGATCTATATGATAGACCAAAAAACAGAGTCTCCAACATGAATTTCAGGCCACCAAAGATACCATAATCAAAAGCTTCTAAGATAATGAAAAGAATCAACAGGACAGCAGCACCCCACATCAGTGCAGGTTATTCTCCAGGTTGATGAAGAGGTTTCCATCACACAGCCTGGTCAAAAGTTGGACAGAAACTGATTCAAATGATCCACGTCATTCAAAACACCCTGAAATTCACACCACGCCACCACTAATAACTTGGCTTTTCATCTTTCCCATAATCACTGACAAAATTCATTTCTGACAGAAGACTACATCAAGATTTGTCATATGGCCACAGGAATGTACATAACACACAGCACTCACAAAAACAAACAAACCCTTAAATGTATGTATCTCATACATTTCAGAGTATGAACCCTGAACTAGCACAATTTGCATTCAGAAAAGACAGCAGTAGCTAGGTTACCATGTACAAACATATTTTTAAAATCTGAGAGTAAAAAAGGAATCCATAGTCCCTTTAAAAGAAAGGGAGCAGAAGAGCTTTTTTTATATTTATAACTCCAGCACAGTAATCTTTCATCAGACTTTGGCAGAAGTACTGATAAAACTTTCCAGGCATAGCTGATGTTTAATACAGTGGTGCCCCGCATAACGAGCGATTCGTTTAACAACGAATCCGCATAGCAATGTGTTTTTTGCAATCGCAAAAGTGATCGTATTGCGATGTTTTGCATAGCGATGTGTTTTTAACAGCTGATCGGCGGTTCCAAAATGGCCGCCGGGTAAAGAAAATGGCTGCCCACTGTGTTTTCGCACCCTTTCCTCGCTTACCGGGCAGCGAAAATGGCGGCCGCATGGAGGATTTCCGCAGAACGATGAGTTTTTTGCCCACAGGAACGCATTAAACGTGTTTTAATGCTTCCTATGGGCTTTTTTGCCCCACATAGCGACGAATCCACATAGCAACGATTTTTTTAATGGATTATCATCACTATGCGGGGCACCACTGTACCTTGTAATTTACACCTCAGTAATATGGTGTATCTTAGCCCCAATACTAAGTGGACTTAGAGCAGAGAAATGCAAATCCTTTACTTGCCTCCCTCCACATGGGAAGAAGCTAGGTGGAAGATCTATTTAGAAATACTAATTTACACACCTATGAGTGTATATGGAGCTCTTATAGAAATGGAAATACTAAGGGTATACAGGTTTTGGAATACAGGGAAAAGCACCACATGAAAAAGACCTTACAGGCCATACATTTTATTTATTTATTGACTCAATTTCTCTACTGCCCATCTAGCCAAAGGCCATTCTGCAGCATAAAGTACATTGAATGCTGGAGACCAGGGAAGCAGAAGCAGCAATGTGATGATCACAGGTACCTTTTCAGGAGTGTTTCCCAGCTTCTGTTATCATTCATGCTTAGAATTTAAAACAGTTACAACTGTGGCAAAAAAACAACAACCTAAGAATGTACTATTAAAAATAAATGGCTGGTGGCAAGTAACTGGATTGGGAGATGTTGAAGGACCCAATTCAAAATCAAGCAGATGTTTACCACGCTGTACAAAAAGAAAGAAGGAAGGAAGGGCTCCATAAACTACACAAGGTCTGGGAGATGTTGAAGGACAGAATTCAAAATCAAACAGATGTTTACCACGCCGTACAAAAAGAAAGAAGGAAGGGCTCCATAAACTACACAAGGTTTATCATGTTGGGAGGATCATGGCAAGTGTAAGAGAAAAAACAAGGAATGAGAGATATCCCAGTATTTCATCTGAAGCCATCAGATAGCAAAAAGCTGCACAATGACCACCAATAATGTAAGGGAACACACACAACACAGCTGCCATTAGATATGTTTCCAAGAAGTTCTACTAGGCAAATAATTCTTTGTTTCTAAACAGAATGTTTTTGTTTCAGAGGAATATGATCTGATCACACTTTCAGTATGAAATCTGATCTTTGACTAATTATCTGCAATCACATGTTCTTGGAATGGCAGTTTTCAAACTGTGTCCTAGGCAATCTCTGGTTTCTTCAAAAGCCACCAGAGAGAAAGTCCAACGGTACCGAAACAAGAAGACCTTATAAAGAAGATACGGGGAACAGCGGAAATGGACATTTTATCAGAAGTGATGAAGGACTGTCCTTTACAAAAGGCAACAGAAAGATGGGACTTATTCTACAAATGGACTGAATCAACAGGCAACGTATGAAGAGCATATATTGAAACGAGAACTTAAACCTGGAAGGCAGAAAATAGTAAAAAGAATAATTTGGAATTTTGATATGGCAATAGGTATAGAATAGACGTTAGTATGTTATTGCTTCTCCTCTTCCCTATTAACCTCAATTCCCCCTTTCCTTTTTGTCATCCCCTTGTTAAAAAAAAAGCCACCAGAGAGTATATTTCAGGAGAATGAATAAGAGATAGATTGCTAAGAGATTAATAACATTAGACAAGCTTTCTTGCTTTAGTCCAAACGGTTGGTGTCTTTATTTGGGCAGAGGATGACAGTGGGACCACCCAGGCCTGAAGATAACTTGGAAATGCAGACCAGTACCTTTTACAGCAGTAGGGTGTCTTAGGCAAATACATACCAAACCCTTAGGCAGGATCGAGCCGGGTATTTCTTCTGCCTGAAACTGCTTCTAGCCATGGAAATGGAAAATAAATGATGGTTTCTCCACCCACCACGTCACTTCTATAGCTCCGTTTCAGAGAGCAACTGCTTGGATCAGTTTCCAACTGCCGTAGCGAGCTTCATGAGAGACCGGAAGTGCATCTGGACATCAGTACTCGTGCAAGCGCTACAAAGATCTCTGGGCAAGCCGCCCAGAGACCTTTGGGTAGTGTGGGCAGCATATAAGTTAAATAAATAAATAAATTTAGCCCCAAGGCAGACAAACCAATGTGGAAAGTGCATCCTGAGCGCAGAAAGCTTAAAATGCCAAGGATGGCACGACAAGCAGTTTCATCCATCTTAACAAAATGCATCCCAGGTTCCTAATCACAGAGTGACCTCTACAATTGAGAGAACACAGTTTATATACATCTACAACACTCACACGTCTCTTATAAAACACATTGCCCCTTTATCCAACACAAATTACACTACATTTTTCTCCGTGTGCAAGCAATAACCTGTTTGTTTTTTTCATTCAGAAGAAGCAACATTAATGTTTGCCATTTTACACCATGTAGTTCATCGTTTTTGGCTGGCATAAGCAGCTGTCATTGGGAAGCAGGCATGGTATAAATGGAGCAAACTGTATTCCACTTTGAATTTTAATGCAGACTCCAAGAAGCTGAATACAACTTACCTGGCTTAATATTCAAATCTGAGCAACAGGAAGTTCAAGTATCTTTCCTACGGAATTTCGGATGAAGCTAGTTTAAATATTTTGTAAAAGGCCTGTATTTACCTGATGATCCTCTGAGCAGCATACTGATGAAGTGAGCGGAACTGTGCTGACATATTCGCTAAAGCTGCCAAACAATTTGTATGAAGGTATTTGTCCTGTTGGGAGATGAGGAGGGGGAAAAACAGACATCAGAACTTCTTTTCTGTATACAGTATGATCTGTCAAAAGGAAAGCCATTAAACCTGACATCCGTTTACCAGAGGCAAGAAAGACACACTGCATTTGTACACTGGTTTTAGGGAAACATTGGTGTGCTCAGGCAATCCTGACTCAATATGGTTGGGCCATTCATGGAAATGCCACTGCACCTATTTAACGGTTTCAGAAGGAAAGGTAAAAACTGTCTTTCCTTATTTTACAGTTTTAAATATTTGTGTCATCTAACAACAATAAAAAAAGAGATTGTAACAGTACAATTTCCATAATTAGCTGCAAAAACTGATAATTAATTTTTCAAATAAAAGATATCCATTTTAAAATCAAAATTACAGCATTCTAATTGCTAGAACCAGAAAGAATACGATTTTATTACTTTATTGATTGATTGCACTTTTATGTCTCCTTTCTCCTGATGAAGGGACTCAAGGAGCCCCACACATCATTAAAATAGAAAAGGTATTGCTTATACCATTAAAAACCTATTAAACACAGTAGTATTAAAAAAAAATTTAAAACATGTAAAATATTTTTTTTTAAAAATTAAAAAGGATATAAAGGCAGCAGTCAAAGAATATCTGTGTTTTAACTGTGTGAATTTTAATGTTGCGAGCTGTTTTGGGTCCCTTGTTGGGAGAAATGCGGCATATTATTATTACTGTTCTACATCAGTAATATAATTTTAAATGAAAGAATAATCTGTTGCTAGATAAGAAATGTTTGCCATACATTTATGACATACAAATATAATAACAATAATAATAATAATAATAATAATAATCTGTTCTAAAATTAGATATTAAAGGCCTGTCTGAACAGTTTTCACTAGTCGCAGAAAAGATACGAGATAGGGAGCCAGCCTAAGCTCGTGGGGGAAGACATTCCTTAACCTGGGGGCAACCACCAAGAAGACTTTTTTCCAACTCCCTCTCAACCATATCTTTAGAGGTGACAAGACTAAGAGGAGGGCCTCTCCCCAAGACTTTAAGACCCAAGGTGGGTTATACTGGGAAACAGGATCTGCCAGGTAGCCTGCACCCAAGTTGTATGGGGCTTTATAGATCGTAACCTGTATTTTGACTTCGGCTTGGAAACATTCTCCACCACTTCTTTATAGTGTAACAAATAGTATGGGGTCAGAACTTAATCGAGGAGTATATGGCTAAATCCCAGGGATGTACAATTTCAAAGGCTTCAAGGGTGAATCTTCCACTCCGAGGACCTACTGTGGGGCTTACATCAGCACTGAACATAAAGGGGAGAATAACTGAACGCTGCTGGAAGTCTCCTTCCAGTTTCATTCTTATGGGTTGAGAGTATGTGGCTGGAGGAGCCCTCCACCTCAAGAGCAGATTTTTTAAATTCCCCACGGAGGCAATGCAGGGCACCCAAAAATATTTCTGAAGAGCTTCACTTTTCCCAGTGCTGTTTCATCCCTATAATCAAACTTCGAGGATTTCAGTACAAAGATGGGAATGATTATTTGCCAAGAACTTAGAGAGTTACCGACGTCTGACTGGTTGAGGTCGTTTTGTATAGTTAGCAAAGTCACGTACTAGAAATTGAGTATCTACACCCATCATTCTTGATAAATTTTAGTATCAGCATTTTGGCTTTAAGTGATAAATATGCCCCAAAGATACGACATCTCAACATTTTCCCATGTTCTTATTTATTTAACTTCTATGGAGTGACATGCCCTTTTGACGTCATTTTAAAACTGATTGATTCCTTTTAGGTTGTTGAAAAGAGAGAAAGCTTTGAGTTCTTATTTTGGTCTCCAGCTTTGATTTTATTATTTGTTGGGAAACTTGGTAAGGATGGAACACCAAAAATGGGAAAACAGTCCACAATACGCATCTCTTACCCTTGTTCTTGTCATGTTGTACTGAATAGTTCTTATTACTACCAGGATCAGGAGACTTCCGAGTGAGATTTCTGTTAGCACACGCTCTGAGTACCAGGTAATATTTTTCAGTATCTGCAGAGACAGAAAGAGTTTTTACCTTATAGTCTTTCGTGAGTGAACATCAGTTATGGAAATAACAAATAGTTATGGGGAAAAAAAATAAAACCATCTGCAACCATAACTGACATTATACAAAGATACAACTCCATGAAGAAATCCATAAAATAATGGAAATGAAAGGGGGCTATAAGGCCATTGAGTCCAAGCCCTTGCTTATATCTATCTTCACTCATTTTCTAAGAACAAATATTACTCTAATGGTTGTTGTGGGTTTTTTGGGCTTTTTGGCCGTGTTCTGAAAAACCCACAACAACCATTAGATCCCAGCCGTGAAAGCCTTTGCGAATACAATTATTACTCTTTCTAGAGAAAATTAGACATATTCCTTGTGCTAGAGAGAAGAACTCAGGAAAAGTATGGGCTTATTGTTACCATTTCATATGCACTACGATTCTTGAATACTAATAGTATCCTCTCAGATAGGTATGTATATCTGCATTCATAAAGGTCCCCTCCTTAGTCAGCAGCAGGCAGGGCGCATGTGGTCCAAAACACAATCCTACTCCCACCACGCATATCCACAGAAAGGTGCAAAGCAAATCTCTACACATACACAGACAGCATTATTTTTATTGAATCGTAGTTATTGACAAGCTTTGCAAAAGTACAGCGTAAATGTATCTGAAAAGTTCAGTTCTTTTTATTTGCTTTCTGTTTATAGTTTGGATTTTAAAGTAAGTCTTTAAGCATATCCACAAGATACACAACCCTCAAAAGATGCAAGGACACCACTCTTCGCATTGACTGCACCCCAAACGTAATCAGCAAGTACTCAGTGAGGGTTTGGCATGGTGTGTCTCTCTCTGCCCTCGTGTGCCAGCCACCCTTGTTCCCAAGATTCTCCCTTAGAGCGGGAGCAATAATTTGACTGAATGTGAACTTATTCCTAATAACAATATTCATGTAGGCACACATCGAGGATGAAAACTGCAAGCACTGGAAGAAGACAGTGTTCTCTTAAGTTTAATTAACAGCTGTTTTTTTCTTATTATCAATAAAACAGAGCTCCGTATGGGCAGAGGTAGCTGCCTGTGTGAAGCCAATGACAGAAAAGAGATTTTGTTTTTGTTCTTTTTAAATCTTCCCAAGGAAACCAAAACCACATTTTATTTTCAAACAAAATCCTTTGAGCAGACAGGAAAGCTTTTATGGCTCCCTTAGGAGAACCACGTAAGAGTCTATACAATCAGTGATTTATAAAACGGTACTTACTAAAAATTAATCTTCACTATCAATAAATAACTGTGGGTGTATTACCACAAAAGGAAGGGCTCACACAAGAAGTAGAATTAGAAAAGCAGAATATGCAATGAAGGATGAGGTGAGAAACTCAGGTTGATGCAGAATATCCTATTTAATTTTATTGCACATCTTCAACCATAAGATGAAAGGCGTGTTAACCCAAAACTACTAAAACTGTCTAGTAATGCGGTTTCTGAGAAACCTAACTTGCTCCCTGCCCACCTGAGAACAGTTTCAAGATGGGACTTAAGATCTGAATCTGAAATGTATAGTTATGTTGAGAGTATGTACCATCACTGTCCATTCTTACATTCTCCAAAGAACAGACAGCAATGAGTAATAGTTTAGAACTTGGGCTTTCAAGAACACAGTACAAAAGTCAGCTACTGTGCAAAGTTCCACTGATATCAGAAGAACTCAGATAATTACATCGAATTTTGCAATGATATCAATGGGATTAGATGAAACAGACATTCTGAATCTTTTTCAGCAGCCTACTCATACAATGGGAGTTCAAATGAAGACTCACACAAAAAGCCACTGATCTAACTTTTTTCTTTCCCTCCTGGAAATTCTGGTCTAAACCCAGCTGTTACTCACAACCAGAGCAGACCCACTGAATGAATGGGACTTTTTAAAGTCAACACTTATGTAAGTCCCACTGACTCAATGGATTTATTCTAGCTGGAACTAACAACTGGATATAGCTTTCCTTCCTCTGGATACCCAATATTTATTTATCAACTCTGTAAAGTAAACCATTTTTTAAATTTCTTTATCCAAATTTCAAAGGGAACCTTAAGGAAGTGGCAGTAACAGCATCCTGAAGAGAATTTGGAAATGAAAGCCCTCTGTGTAAAGACTACAGAATCTCAAATACTGAAAAGCAAGATGAATCCATAGCAGCCACTTAAGCTGAAGGGAGATGGGAAATCTATCAGTATCTAACTGAAGATGGTATATTTTATAGAGATGTACATTTGTCACAAGTTTTAGTTACTTCATCAAAGCTCATGAACTTACCACTTCGTGAATGGATCGATTGAAGCCATCATCTTCAGTAAGAATTAACAAAATTATCAGAGCCATGTAAACATGGTGTGAGTTCCTTTCTTCAACACGATAAAGAATCTCAAGAATTGGCAGAACCTGGAAGAAGGAAAAATAAAGATGTATCCTTCAAACATTCTCAGAACAAAAATATAATTGCAGATTATCCTGATTTTACATAGCCACTTTATAATATTCACTAATTTTACAGAGAATAATAATCAGCATCATGTGGTGGAACGACGGTTGACCCAGTTACCCCGGGAGTTGGTGAGTGCTCCAACACTGGAGGCATTCAAGAAAAACTTAGATAATCACCTGGCAGATATGCTTTGATTGTATTCTTGCATTGAGCAAGGGGTTGGACTTGATAGCCTTGTAGGCCCCTTCCAACTTCACTTTTCTATGATTCTATGTGCCATGAAATCAATTCTGACGTAAGATGGCTTTTTTTTCAGGGTTTTCCAGGTAGGGAGTACTCAGAAGTGATTGTCAATTCCCTTTTTCTGGGACTGTACAGCTTGCCCAAGGTCACACAGGCTGGCTCCTCTCTCAGGAGGCACAGTGGAGAATAGAACTCCCAATCTCCAGCTCCACAACCAGATACTTAAACCACCAAGCTATCCAGCCAGCTTACAAAGAGAATAAATACTAAAAAATAAATCTCTACTGACAAAAAACGAATCCACCTTTTGTTCACTTTCCCTTGCTACCAGAAATAAAAATTAAAAAGGAGATAAACTAACTGTTAGGGAGAGATTTCAATCTTTGAAACTGCTTTAAAATTAGCTATCTGTGACTTGGAAATTAAATATTAGGCAGCTGAAATGGATTCTGCCCCCTTTCAGCAGCTAAGAAACAGCAGCTAAGAAACTGGAATAGTACTATTCAGTGGGTTGAATATGCTATAATTCTTTCAACATTTGAATGTGTAGCATGGAGGCATCAACTTTGGCCAGATTTTGGTAACCTTTACTGAAGTCTATATAGTTTTGTTTAATTTTTTTAAATAAATCGGAACTTTTATTATACTGAGTGTTTCAAGTGAATGATAGGGTCTATTTTCTTTTTCCTGTTTTTTTCTTTGTCAATTTTTGAAGAATTGAAAAAAAAAGCAGGCAAAGCCATCTCTTTCAGAATAACCTCTCTTGCTTTAGCTGCCAGAGTACTTGGAAAAGGTCAGGAATGGATGTGTGTTGGTTCTTTCCGATGGGAGATAATGTTCTTTTAGAAAAAAACTTGTTCTGCGTTATTTAGGGCTTTAAAGGCTAAAACCAACCCTTTGAACTGCACCCAGAAGTTGGGCAAAACACTGGCATAGTATGAACACATCAGCCAAACCCAGACATTCATTTTTTTTGACCAAGTGAAGATTTCAGAACATTTTCAAAGGTCAATCCACTTACAGAGACCTGCACTAATATAAACTATTTACCTGTGCTTCTAGAGAAACTTAAGCATGGATACCTTGTGGCCTGAGCAGGGGTAGCTCTCCCAAAGGAACATCTTTGCAATGATGGATCTAAGATCTCTCAATTAACTGTTTCCTTAGGAGAACAACTCCCATCAGAGCTGGATAAGCTGAACTTAGCCAAACAAACCACTCACAACTAGTATTTCTATCTGGAGTGTGGCCGTTTATTGGCTGTCATCCAGTCTATTAGCACTATCCCGCCCAATGGTTCATATTATCAGCTGTCTCGTCTGTATCAAGAAAAGAAAACCAAAGCCGGCCATCATCTATATATCTGTGACACCTCAACCCTTGGAAAATATTTCTAGTGCTTTCAACTGGATGCTGAGTGCCACGGAGGACAAAACAATGCACTGGGGGATCTTACAGCAAGCAAAACAAGTCCAATACAAGAAGTCCATTGCACTAAACCCTACAACTGGCAATCCAACACTACAGTGTACTACACCTCTACCTACAATCCTACAGTCAAGCCAGAACAATGTCATGGTTGATGGCGCTGAAAGCTGTTGAGATGTCCAAGAGAACCAAATGGGTACAACTCTCCAATCCCCTTTCCCACTAAGAATCTTCCTGAAAGATAACCAAGGCAGCTTTTATTCTATGTCTAGATCTGAAATTAGACAGGAACAGGATCCACAGGGGTACAACTATTGGACTGGTGCAGCAGAACAAGAGAGGATCATGTGGCATCTTTAAAATCAACAGCTTTATTGTCACTGGACACACAGTCCACGTCTCAGAAAGCAGGCTGTTCAAGCAAGAAAGCTCAGGCGACTGCAAATCTGTAAGACTTAAATATGTTGCACAACACCTCATCTGATTGAAAGGGACAATGATAAATCCACAACTGAAAATAAAATTAAAAATGCATCACTGAAAAACAAACTAACATCATAAAAACAGAACAGTACAGAAACCTAAAAGTGATAAAACAATTGCTAAATCCTTCTACATCTTATTGTGGGTTACTGAGTACTGTAAAGTATAAAGCATTCTGCTCTCTGCCATCGGTAGTAGGGGAGGGGATTTTCTATTTCTTTTACACATATAGTTCTCTGGGAACTGGTACTAATTGAGAGAGATAATAACAAGGAAGAGAAAAAGACAACTCAAAATTAAGCATGGTGATGAACCATTCTACAATAGGAGCCCCATATCCTCTGGATACTGAAAACCATGCATAATAGCAATTCTCTCTCTCTCTCTCTCTCTCTCGCTCGCTCGCTCGCTCGCTTTGTAGCCAATCAGCCTGTATGCAAGAAAAGGTTAAACCAATCATAAAATAGTATCTGGCACCTCATGCAAGAACATACAAAACAAGAATAACAGGCATAAAATGATAAAATAATAGTAAAAAAATGTAATAGCATTCTCAAAAAAGAAGAAAAAGAATCAAATGTTAGATTAATTTGAAGAATTTATGAAGCAGGCAAGAAGTTCTGCCTTTCCATGACTCGTTTAGCAAATTTAGCAATCCTATAGGATATACAGTAATCTGTGTCAGCTAGCAGGGACAGGACTGCGCACGGAGGGGACGTGTTCTTGATCCCAGCTGTTAAGGGCTTTAGACGTTGGTCACTCAGATCTGTGTACAGAGGACATTCTGTTAGAAAGTGTACCATGTCCTCCACTTTAGAGCACCCTGCTGGGCAATGTCTGCCTGTACCATGTTGGTCCATGTCATGTCCCTAAATCTCTTTCAGGTGTGACGAGTTCAGTCTGTACCTTGTTTGCAGTTGTCTCAGCTCATGTGAGCCAATTAAGGGACAAATAAGGGGCAGCTTTCCAAAAGGCAAGGAAAAGCCTTTGTATATCCCTACTGGAGTGGCAACAGACTACAGACACCATAACAGCCTGAATATCAATATCAGATATTATTTTAATGATATCTTCCTGGGCAGCCTTCTTGGGCAGCCCTCCTAGGGAGGTAGGCTGGGGTATAGCTTTGCTATAATTGTGGATATCTCAGATGCTCAGGACTCCCTTCCCATTTCTTCACAGGTCAATAAGACCAGTGATGATGCCATCGGGTACACTAAGCCAAAACAGCTGGGCTGCTTTCTTAATAAGAGTGCTCACAGAGTAGCACCCCAGAGCAGACTGAGGCCATGGGAGGAGCCCTTGGTAGCCCTAGTGCTCTGGTTTAAAAAAAAATCTGCTGGACAGATTCCTTAAATTTTGTGATATTTGAAAAAGCCCACACTAGAATTCCATAGAGTACCTAGGGAAGGAGCTTATCTTTATACAGTTGTATTAGTGGTAATTATAGCACGGTAAAAGGGGGGAAAACAGTGAAAAATTATTTTCACATGCATTACCAGAACTGGCCACTAAAGGATACCATACCATGTATTCTTTACTAACAAGTTTTCAACGCACAGTCTCTGGCTCCCTCTAGTGGCCAGTACTGGTAATACATGTGAAAAAAATTTCTTGATTTTTTTTCTTTTAATAATTTCACACTGTAGATAAGTGAATCGGTGCATACTAATTCCATGGATAAGGGGGGTCTTACTGTGTATCACAGTGTAAACGCACAATGGTATAATAAAACTATTTCTATGCCATCAAGTTGATTCTAAACTATGGCAAGCCTTTCCAGGGTTTTCTGGATAGAGAATACTCAGAAGTAATTTACCATTCCCTTCTTCTAGGAGCATCTTGGGACTGTGCAGTTAGCTCATGGCTACGCAGACTGGCGGAGGCACAATGATATTGTGAGCCATTCAAAGAACAAGGTAACAGAAAGAATAAAGCTGGTGTAAAATAAAACTCCCCCCAGAACTTAAAAAAAATAACACAGCAAACAAGTTGTACACTAAGCATCCCAAGTGGTCATAATAATATAGGGGAGCAGAACAGGCAAGTTTAGAACCTAAATTTGAAAAGATTGATGCTCTGTGATGCTTTCATCACTCATAACAAGCTTTCATGCCTAGCTGCTGTACTTAGAAAACCTTTTTTTAAAAAAACAAGGAATTTCTCTCACACAAACACACAAAGGCAGAACAAGAGATAGTACTTTGTGACTTTTGAAACCATGGGTGCAAAGTCTTAAGTTCCTCCGGCATGCAGTTTATTGAGGAATATTTTAAATGAGTAACTTTTTCTCTTGTCATTTAAAGACTCACACTGACTGCTAATGGGATTAATTGTTATGCCTTCCCGTCTAAACGTCTATTTTTCCTTTTTTAAAAATTGAATGCAACATAAAGAACAAATTCCGAGCAGTGGTCAAATTACAGGGAGTGGGTGGTCAAAGTGGCGGGGAGACAGTTCCCTTACCATTTTAACAATTCCCCCAGCTTTTATTTTTAGCAGTCTGGAGGGCCCATGATTTGAGCACCAATGGAGGGTTAGGGGAAATACTGAATCTCATTAGAGCCCACCTACCTTCACCCGCCCCAATAATTCAAGTCTTGCTTCTGTGTAACTGAAAATTTACATACCACACTGCAGCCTTCTGTCTTCATAAACACAATGCTACCCTTATAATTTTTTTTGCTCTTTTGCAAACATGTAATCGTTCACATTCCATGCTTACACTAGCTGTAGTGTCTCCCACTTAACTCTTTTCAACTTACAGACAGACAGGTTGGGAGGGGTGCAACCAAATACACACACAGGCAGAAGACAAACGTACACAGATGCTGCACTGCCAATCATACTGCCAACACTGCATCCACGCACCTCCATTACAGTCCTATCACTTCTGCATTTTAGCAGCTGATAGCATTTATCCATAGATTGCAACCTACCCTTTCCCTAAAATCAAAGAATAAAGGAAACGGGGCCCGATTCAGCTATCATTCCAGTACCTAGTTTTCTCAGACAAGGTGCAAGAACAAACACTTCACAAACAAGCACCCTTTTCTACTATTAATAATAAAGTAGTGGCATATTTAGTGGGCTGAATAGCTCAGTGGGTCTAAGTATCTAAGACGGGGTGTTTGTTTCCCCACTGTGCCTCCTGGGAAAAGGGCTATGCTCTGTAGCCCTGGACAAGCTGCAGAATTCCAGGATGTCCCCAGAAGAAGGAAACGGTTAAGTCCTTCATGGTTTGGGACCATATTACCTGTCAGAGCATCTTTCTCCAATATCATCTGCATGACCCACCAGACCTTCTCAAGCCAGGCTCCTCTGGGTAGCCACCCCAAGAGAGGCCCAAAGGTCATCTACAACAGGTAAGGGCCTTCTCTGTGATGGAACTGAGGCTATGGAATCAGCTCCCAGAGGTGATGTGCCCGGCACCCTCTCTGTATTCTTTTATCAGGGAGGCTTTTCGATACTATCCTGACTGAGTGTCTTGCCTCCACTTTTCTGTGATAATTTGTTGGTGCCACTGGTTTTTATGCTTTCTTATGTTATTGCTATTTGTGTTATATTTTGGTGCTTATTGTTTGTGGAATCTTGGTTTTAATCTTTTGTAAACCACCCAGAATAGTGCTTTGCCATTAATGGGGCACTACAGTGGTGCCTCGCTTAATGAGCGCACTGTATAACGATGAATTCGCATAGCGATCCCTTTTTTGGGATCGCTAATGCGAAGGCATCCCAACCGCCGCAATGGGCAAAACTCGCATTGTGACGCCAGCGGATCAGCTGATCGGCGGTTTCAAAATGGCCGCCGGACGCCCAAAATGGCCGCGCGCGTTGTCGCGCCCTGCCCTCGCTTACCGAGGGCGCGAAAATGGCTGCGGATGGGGAAAACTTCGCTTAACGGTGAGTACAGAAGCCATTGGAACGCATTAAACTAAGTTTAATGCATTCCAATGGCATTTTCCATCCCGTTTAGCGATGTTTTCTTATAGCGATGGTTAATCCGGAACGGATTAACCTCGCTATGCGGGGCAGCACCACTGTATATAAATTAAACCAACCCACCACTTCTGCGTATTCTCTATTTGGAAAACCCTGAAAAGGATCACCTTATGTCAGAAGTGACTTGACAGCAGATGATGATGATAATGATGATCAGGATCAGGATCATCAGTAATAGTGGTAGTAGTAGTAGTGGCGGCGGTATATTTAAGAGAACAACAACAACAACAACAACAACAACAACAACAACAACAACAACACTACTACTACTACTACTACTACTACTACTACTACTACTCCTAATACTAATACTAATAATAATAATAATAATAATAACAACAACAACAACAAATACTTACCAAGTTTTCCATATCTGTTCGAGCCAACATATATGTCCGAACATTGCTGTTCTGATGCAGCAGAGTGTACAAAAGGAGGGTCGCTTGATCAGAGTTCTGCTGTTCACACAAAGTGGTGTATAAACTATTGAAATTAATCTGGAAAGTGTAAGGATTTGGTGAAGGAAGTACTGTGCTATCTGGAAGAGAAGTAAGAAAAAAATATCAGAGTTCAAAAAGGATTAGCTCACTCATTTTGGGCTTTGCTTCTGATTAGCCCAATGAGAAGAGCCTCGTGGCGCAGTGGTTAAACTGCTGTACTGCAGCCAAAACTGTGCTCACGACCCAGGGTTCGATCGCAAGTAGCCAGCTCAAGGTTGACTCAGCCTTCTATCCCTTCTGAGGTTGGTAAAATGGATACCCAGCTCGCGGTGGGGGGGGGGCAATGTGTAGCCTGCATAATTAACATAAACCATCCAGAGAGTGCCTGAAGAGCTATGGGGCGGTGTATATAAGCAGCATGCTTTTTAGCCCTAAAAAAGTAATTGCAGTCTTCATGGTTTAGGTAGTTAGTCTTTTTAGATGCTGCTTCACTTTTAGTCCAAATACAGATTTTGAGCGCAATTCCTTAATTTTTAAAATCATTTATCTGCAGGGTTTTTGGTGGAATTTTAATTGCTGGGAGAAATGGAGTATCTATATTTGTATGGTGAGTGTTGTGTATATTTTAACTTTTTTTTGTAGTGGTGTTGTCCAGTTTTACCTTGGGGAAGAGCACCTCATTTCGTTGCACCCACTTGTGAGTGCAATGACAAATAAATTTCTTATGTCTTATGTCTTATGTCTACAAATGGAGTTGGGTCAGATATCACTCAATAATGGAATGAAATTTACAAGCTGAAAACTAACTCTTCAGAGCACAGATAGCTAAACAGTTTATTGTATCTGGTATTCATGTTTATTTTATTTATTTATTTAT